AGATGACAATTTTCCCATGCCTACAGATGGAATTCTCGGTAGAGATTTCTTTACTCATTGGAGATGCAATATTGATTATGACACATGGATGTTATCGATTAAAGCAAAGGAACATACCTTTGAAATACCGATAACTAACCATCTTAAAGGAAACTACGTTATTCCTCCACGCTGTGAGGTCCTTAAAAGATTAAATTTACCGAATTTAGAAGAAAGTGTAACCATCGCAGAAGAAATACAACAAGGAGTCTTCTGTGCCAATGGTATAATTAATAAGAAATATCCATTTATTAAAATAATGAATACCTTAGACGAAACGATACAAATTTCTAATAATTTTGTACCAAAAATGGTAGCACTCTCCAATTATCAAATATTTAATGTTAATAAACCTTCAAACTGTAACTTACGAACCCAAAAATTATTAAATGAATTGAATTTGCAAGCATTAGACCCAAATATAAAAGGGAAACTACAAACGCTTTGTGAAGAATTCAATGATATATTTTCATTGAGCAACGATGTGCTAACTGAAAACAATTTTTATAAACAAAAAATTCATCTGAGTGATCTGAATCCGACATATATCAAAAATTACAGGATACCCGAAGCTCAAAAACATGAAATGGATATCCAGATACAAAATATGCTAGAAAGCAAAATAATTCAAAACTCTACTTCACCATATAATAATACAATTCTTTTGGTACCTAAGAAAACTACTACAGGCGATAAAAAATGGCGTTTAGTAGTAGATTTTCGTCAATTAAATAAAAAAATTACTCCTGACAAATTCCCATTACCCAGGATTGATGAAATCCTTGACCAGTTAGGAAGAGCGAAGTACTTTTCAACGCTTGACCTCAAGTCTGGATTCCATCAAAATCCTTTGGCAGAAGAAAGCAAAAGGTTTACAGCTTTTTCATCGAGTTCAGGACACTATGAATTTAACAGACTACCATTTGGGCTAAATATCAGCCCCAACAGCTTTCAAAGGATGATGACGATTGCTTTAAGCGGTCTTCCTCCTGAGATTGCTTTTCTATACATCGATGACATCATAGTCATCGGATGTTCAATAAATCACCACATTGCAAATCTTAGAAAAGTATTCTTACGTTTGAGAAAACATAACCTCAAACTGAATCATGAAAAATGTTATTTTTTTAAAAATGATGTAACGTACTTGGGACATCACATATCTGCAAAGGGCATAGAACCTGACAAAAATAAATATTCAGTTATTGAAAACTTTCCAATACCAAACAATTCTGATGAAACACGCCGATTTGTAGCTTTTTGCAACTACTATCGACGTTTTATTCCCAATTTTGCTCACATTACTAACCCGCTAAATAAACTTCTCAGGAAAGGCGTAACATTCACTTGGGACAATGAATGTCAACAAGCTTTCGAATTACTTAAAAGATATTTGTTGTCACCTACTATCCTTCAATTTCCTGATTTTAAAAAGGAATTTATTTTGACCACAGACGCCTCAAAAGTAGCATGTGGAGCAGTACTTGCACAGCTACATGACGGTGTTGAATTACCTGTTTCATTTGCCAACAAAGCTTTCACAAAAGGCGAATCGAACAAGTCAACCATTGAGCAAGAATTAACTGCAATACATTGGGCAGTTAAACATTTTCGTCCATACCTTTATGGACGTAAGTTTAGAATACGAACCGACCATCGACCACTTGTTTATTTATTCTCAATGAAGGAACCTTCATCCAAGCTTACTCGAATGAGGTTAGACTTGGAAGAATTTGATTTCGATGTAGAATATATAAAGGGAAAAACCAACATTATTTCTGACACACTTTCGAGAATTCAGATTAACACTGATTATCTCAAACAAATGTATGTCATAACACGTTCAATGGCTAAAAAGAATAAACCAACGCTTAATCCTTTACCGCAGGAGCCTGATCAACTCCATGTTTACGAAGCATTAAGCAACCACGAAGCTTTTGAACTACCAAAATTATCATGTGCATACGATAGAAACAAGCTGAATATTTTGCTATATAAGAAAAAATATACAAGTGAGTTGACCTTAGGGTTCAATATCCTAATCCAAAAAAATACAAATGAAATGTTGCAAAATATATTCAAAACGATTGAGGCCTCAGTCGAAAACATTAATAAAAATGAATATAATAAAAGAAACAAGCGAACAATTGAACAAATAGCTATTGCTAAAAGTGATTATATTTTTAAATTCGCAGATATGAAATTGTTTAAAGAAATTGGTAATAAAATTCTTCGGAATATAACCATAATTATTTATGATAAACCTAAAATATTATCAAACATAAATGAAATCGAACAGGTATTGAAACAGTACCACAATACACCAACCGGAGGACATTTAGGCATAAATCGACTTTATAAGAAGATCAAAGCCATGTACTCTTGGCCAGGCATGAAAAGAACAATATCAGAATACGTGAAGTCTTGCTCTTCATGTTTACTAAACAAACACTATATTCCAGTAAAGACACACTCTACTATTACGACAACACCAATAAAGCCATTCCAAGTTGTATCGATTGACACGGTAGGACCTTTTTCATTATCCGGAAATGGAAACCGGTACGCCGTGACGATGCAATGCGATTTCACTAAATATGTTATAATAGCACCTATAGCTGACAAATCAGCAACTACCATGGCAAAAGCCGTAGTTGAAAAATGTATACTTGTCTACGGACCAATGACAAGTATCAAAACCGATCAAGGAACCGAATTTAAAGCGGTATTTGATGAAGTATGTAAATTGTTAAATATTACACATACATGCTCAGCTGCCTATCATCCACAAACTATAGGCGCATTAGAGAGAAATCACAGGTGCTTAAACGAGTACCTGAGAATTTTCTGTAATGAGAGAAATACTGATTGGGATGAATGGATCCCGTATTATAGTTTCTGCTATAATACAACACCAAACCTAGACCATGATTACACACCGTTTGAATTACTATTCGCTAGAAAAACCGAAACTTTTAATCTTTTATCAACAAATATATCTCCATTGTACAATTATGATGCTTACGATAAGGAAATGAAATTTAGGTTACAAGTCGCACATGCAAGTGTACTGGATGCCATTCAAAAAACTAAAAGTAAACGCACAAATAACTTGAATAAAAATATTAGCCCAACAGCAATAAAAGAAGATGACATAGTTTATCTAAGGTTAGAAAATAGGAACAAGCTTGATCAGGTTAATGACGGTCCATATAAAGTAATAGATACAAACTTTTCGAATGCTACTATCATAAGCAATAATAACAAACGTTTCGAAGTTCATAAATCCAGATTATTGAAATTTAAATAACAACAAACATTCTTTCAGGGGGATGGTATAGTGAAATTGGCACAAATACAAATAGATATTAAGCAATCCATGTAAACAATTTTTGTGAGAGGCATTTGAAGTCAAACTTACTTCCTTAACACTAAATCATTTTCCGTAGGGGGATGGTGTAACATGTGCATCAAACATGTCAGCAACTTCCCACGCTTGCTATATTTGCTGGTCTCATAAGTGGCACCATGCCGCGACGAGACAAGCTATTCCAAAAAACCTTTTTCAGTCATCGAACCCATTTGAGCAATGCAATGCATAAATGAGTTCGATGAATTGAACGAAACGCATTCAGCAATTCTCACCAAAAGGCAGAAGTGTCAAATAACACTTTGGTTCATTCTTTCCCACTCTTGGTATCGATCACCAACGATCGAGTAAATAGCGAAAATACATAGTGGCTTCAAGTGTCTCCATTCTCAGCACCATATGTAAAATATTGTTCAATAAAACATTCTTAGTTTAACTTTCGAAGCGAAAGGTTCGTTTTTAGTAACTGCAATATCACGTCATGAAAACGTCAAATGGCGAAATAGTGAAAACGTTAAACAAAGCATGGAGCTCTAGGATCAATTTCATGCATTAATCACTTTAACGAATGTTCAAGATCTTTCGGTTGGCCATTATGTGGTCCCCAGTGTCCATATTCCGATCAAAAATCCGAATTCTTTCTGATTAAACGTTAGTGAGTGGTTTTGAAAAAAAAAACCTTTGGGCTCTGGTATCAGTTTCATGAACTGACCACTTTTACGAGTGTTCCGGATCTTTCGGTCGATAAGTAAGTGGCCCCAGCTTCCATATTCCGATAAAAATCCTAATTATTTCTAATAAAACGGTTATGTGTGGTTTAAAAAAAAACACGGAGCTCTACGATCAGTTCAATGAATTCATCACTTTTACGGATGTTCCGGATCTTCCATCCTGTAGTCCGTAGAGTCCAAATTTCGGTCACAAGTCCAAATTAATTGTAGTAAGACGTCTATGAGTGAATTTGAAAAAACCACGGAGCTCTAGGATCAGTTTCATGAATTGAACACTTATACTGATGTTCCGGATCTTCCGGTGGACCATCCTGTAGTCCAAATTCCAGTTTATGAGCGGTTTCGAAAAAAAAACCACGAAGCTCTAGTATCAGTTCCATTAATTGACCACTTTTACGGATGTTCCGGGTCTTCCGGAGAACCATACTTCTGACTTTCCGGATGCGGAATTGTCTCAAAAGGAGGTCATCAATATTGTTAATAACTTTTCCGAAGACACCAGGAAGTCATCTCTTCAAATTACCCTACAATAAGTGTTTGTCCCCAATTAGATGCTACGTGTATTCGTTAATGCCGGTTCCTATAGTGCGGTCCCTATTAACGTTACTATAGGAATCTTGACTGTATGTACGTAATTAGATTAATATTATTTTTCCGAAAACCAATACTCTGATTTGAATAAGGAGTTGTGTCGAGAAAATGATAAAAATTTACCTCGTTAAAAGCGACTTGTGGGGGAGCAAAATCGTTAAAAAAAAATCTCGTACTCGAAATTTTTATGAAAATCAAACGGTCAACCCATTCACTATTTGGCGAGAAAATGCTCTATACATATAAACATATATTTATTATAATTATATACATTGGCCTAGTACCTTTTTAGAGCTATTGAGTCCTTGAATTTGAATTCAATCAAATCACCTGGTTGTGGCATTAAACCCCAAAAAAAGCTTTCTCCGGTATAGGCTTTCTGGATCGTATATGTTTTGTAATGCTGAATTCCAGTTTTTACAACAGCAGGTGGATTGTTGTGAGGATAGAAGGCGGGTATTTTTCCAAACTGTCTATCTTTTAATTTTTGAACTTTTCCTAAAAAAAATATGTATTGGATTATTTTATATTCATGAGAATCGAGAAAAGCTGCTTATGTTACTGCGTAAATGATGAATCGTGTGAATACAAAATATTGCGTAAAAAGCCACTTGTGACTCCAGTGTACCTCCATGGTTCCTTTGATTTTTCTTTGATATTTTTAATATTCGGTGATATTTAGATTTTTCTGATTTTGACCACCCACTGGGCATTCCAAAATCGGCATAAAAACATTAAAAAATATATTTACGTTTCACGCGTAAGCAATACATAAATACCACAATACAGTGAGCTTCGTGGTCGTGCGGTTGTGAGTGCCGCGAAGAGAGGGTTCGATTCCCGATCCAGCCGGTGGAACTTTTCGCAACCCGGAAATTTATCTACTGGTCTACTGTGTGTTGTGTGTTGTCCATTATCTAGTGTTAAGTGTTCGGTCTGTGCAACCTCTGCTTGAAGATGGTGTCAATTGTCTTTTTTAGATTTAGAGTATATATATTCTGAAATTCACGTGGCAAAAAAAGTCGTAACAAAAGCCGCGTAAAAAGCGACTCCAGTGTATTGAAAGTTTAACAAAAACATTATGTTGGTCCAAATTAGTTTGAATAACATGAACAACATGAGACAAACATTTTAATAAATATTTAGTGTAGTATATAAAGCTACCAAAAATACGCTCATACGGTTACTAGAAGTGCTAAATGAACCCCGTTAGGCCGTTATATGAATGATGTGTGAACTGTTTTGTTAATGGGTGTCCACAGTACAACAGTTTTTTCATCAGCTGAAAGCAAACTGGAAGTTTAATTTTGAGCCTTATTAATTGAAACTTTGCCAAGATGAGAAAACGAGTTGTTTCAACTTAGTTAAAACTCACCTTTCAAGGATGATGTTGTTCCAATATGCTGAAACAGCGATGGCTTATAGTGAATCCATAGCTTCGACATGTCTTGCTTGCAACTTTTCTATATTAAGATAATACACATTTTCAAAACAGAAGAAAATGAAATACAAAATGAATACTTACCCCGTCTTTTTCAATACTACATACTTTTGTATATATCAAATTGGATAGCAACCAATCCACAGGTTTATCATTGAAGAACATTTGAAAGAACGTGATTAGCCATGGCAGATCGACCGATTTAAACATTTTTCCTGTAGCAAGAAAATGATAGCAATAATTATGATATAAGTAACACTCAGGAGAAATATATGAACTTTTATATATGTTAAAATGGCCCTAATTGGCAAACGAAGTAGGGGTTTTGTTGAGTTGGACTGTGATAATTAATACATAATTTCGTGTGAAATAGTGTTCGTGTTCGCGTTTAATTTAGCTTGGCGAAATGGATGTGTGTAAGTTCTGCAAGTTCTGTAAGTTCTTTTACTGACTCAATCACTGGCATACGAAACAGCGATGCTGCTTAGATGGACATCGCGTTAAAAAATTAGATGGAAGAAAATGAGGAAACATGTTAATCGTATGCTTGAATTTGAGAAAAATTGTATGGTATGACAAGTTTTTTTTTTAAACTAATGCGGGAAAACAATCGACTGCAATGAATGATCGCGATGCATATAGGTAGATTCAGTTGGAATCAGACCGAAATACCAGACACAAAAAACCTAAAATACAAAATAGATGATGATGTTTTTCCCGGATAATGCGAGTTCTGCGGATGCTGTAAAAAGATGTAGTCGTGCAAGTAAGACAATCAGTAACAGTATCAAACCATGTAACGAGCATATATGTCGTTATCTGTTATATTTTGTTTGTCGTATTAATCCATCAATATCAAATAGTATTTTCTCACTACTTAAATAATTAATTGAAATTTGCGCGGGTATCCACACCGGAGTGGCAGTTTTTTCGCAGCATCGTAGCGATCGTAAGCAATGGATTCGACGTTGGATGAAGAAGAGGCACTATTTTCTAGCTTCTTAACAAGCAGAGCAAAATGCGTTGAAGTATTTTGGCAATTTCCTTCATTTTAGTGAAATGTGTTTATAGTTTTGTTCGATATTACAGATTACAGTGGTGATAATCACGGAAGTCAATCTTTAGAAAACATACAAAACTTAACTTCCCCTGGAATGCATATCATCAGAAAAAAATTGCAGATCTTCAGGAAACATCAGGGAGGTTCGCATAACTTCAGAGAATTTCGCAAAACTCCAAAGAAAGTTTGTTTATCTTCAGATAAATTTGCAGAACTTCAGGAAAATTCGTAGATCATCACAAACTTTGATTCACAGAAATGTTGATAGATCATCAGAGAAATTTTCAAAACATAAGAGAAGCTCACAGAACTTCAGGATAGTTCGTCGATCATCAAAGAAATTCAAGTTGAAGATTGAATTTTTTTTGCGAAAGTTCATGGAAGTTCATAGATTATCACAGAATTTCATAGAGCCTCAGGGAAATGTGAAGAACTTCATATCTTATTGAAAACTCACTTTGAGTTCGCTCTCAGTATTCTTCCGATATTTCAGATAAACTATCTCATGATTTTTTTTAGTTCTGTTGAATGCTTCTTCGGAACTCCCCTTTGAATTCATTTGTTGTACTCCTAAAAAATTCAATGGAATTATTCTCAGAAGTGAATTAAATTCTAAAATCGTGGGTGGTCAACAATCCTCACAAATACCTCCGGAAGCATCTTTGAACGGCTGTGAGTTTATAGAAGTTTACCGATCTTTGTAAAAGTTGAGTGAATTCCAAGTAGAGCAAGGAATTTTGAAGAAGTTTTTGGAACTACATAGAAGCTCTGCTAGAATTTGGAGAATTTTGGGGGGATTCAGGGAATTTTGTAGATGGGAACTCTAATGTTAGTCTGAGATGTTGGTAAAATTTCAGGGAGCAGTAAATTAAATTAACAAGTTCAGACATTTTTGAAAAAAAAAGGACCAATACAGGACACAAATGCGTTTCTCCTCTCCTCTATCCTCACTGTAGTATTCATGACATTTTCACTAAACTTCTCGTGCACTTGATTCTCGCATCTTCTCCTTTCACGTACTCTTGCTCCAGGTCTTCTTCTGGATGGCCTTCGAGAGCAGTGACCAGTGGATTGTACGATTCCGGCAAACTCGACAGCAAAATTGCCTCAACCAGATGCTCCTTCAAACCTCTCCCATCCTGGCAAAACGATGCACTAACTCTGACGCTTAGACGAGATGCTCTAATATGTTTCCGCTATCTACCAGACGCATCGAGCAAAATCCTCGCAACACATGGATCTTGCTTGACAGAGATCCTCGCTCGTGGTAGCATTTCAGCTTTCCCTGCATCCCTTCAGCATTAAAAACTCCGATAATATGGCACAGCTGAGCTTCTTTTATCACTATCGCTATCACACCCATCGTCGCTGGAGCTTACTCGTCTTTTTTGTCAAGGCTGACGTTATCCTTCAGGCTGACGTCGAAATTCAGGTCCTTCACCATTGTCCATAGATTTTTCTTAAGAAGCAGCGATTCCATCCTGAACTGCCAACTTGCCCAATTGAATTTGTTCAATTTGTCCAGGGTCACGGTCATATCGAAGAAAAATGGCTAAAAAAACCGTCTTCGTTTTTATGTGTTTTTTTGTTTTACATCAGTGGACAAAGACTTTCAGTCTCACACACACACATACACACGCACACACATACACACACACGGGCTACACATGGTGAATTGACAACCTGGGAAGAGCGTTTTTCCTATCTCTGGTCCTCACAAGTTCCTACCTCACACCTCCCCGTGGTGTAGCCTGGGCAATGTTGTCCTTCTGACAATAGCAAAGTGAGGGGGTGCGACGCGAACACTGGCGCGGTAACCATAACACGGCGATCGAGGAAATGCTTCGTCAACCCGCAGGAGTGCCAACCGGCACATTAGGATCGACGCCAGTAAGATCCTTATTACGGCATACTGGATACGGCATGGAACTATGGACACGACACGGCACAATGGATTGGATACCACGCTACAGGGCTGACAGTCGTGCTATTCTGCTCCCTAAGTAAAGAAGGGTGACACCTTCTTGAAATGGCGAGTGGGCTAATAGTGCGGCTGCCCCCGTCCCGGTAAAACCTTGGCAGGCCTCCGGATACGTTCAAAACTCGTCACCAATTGGTGATTGGTGAGTAGTAGACTCAGATGTAACATTCCTGACTTACGCCGATCTGGCTCTGAACACGGCCCCCATGAAGGACCGTGTCAACCCTAGCATGGCCTCCCTGCTTGCATAGATAACCATGGGATCACGATAGGCGACTACCTACAACGAGTGGAGATAGCGGCCCGGAGGGGGGACCCAACAGAATGGTGAAAAACGGAGAGAAAAACAAAAAAGAAGAAAATGAGAAAACCCAAAAAAATATCAAGGACGACGGCAAGACGCCAGAAATTGAAAATGGAGGAGCGAACGTGTTCGCAAGGAGCGGGATATTGCAAAGATCACCAGTGTTGAACCTGGAGGCAACAGCGAGTTCCAACAGCAGCAGTAAGCCCCAAGGTGAGCAGCAAGGACACCAAGGAGAGCTAGGTATTATGCTAAGCCAGGTGTTCACACCGAAATCCAGCAGTAGCACACCCCAAGAAGGATTGCAGCTTGGGAAGACCAAATTGATGGAGGTCAGGAGGAGGATCAATGAACTCCATGACTTCATCAAGGATAAGAGCAACGTCCACAAGGCAATAAAGGAAATGGTGACGGGCATCAAATCCGCCATTATTGCTGCCGAACGTGAACAGGATGCGCTGAGGACGAGGTCCGTAACTGCCGAAAGGGCACTGATCGAGGCCAAGGAGAAAGCAGCAGCTGAAATACAGGAGACGCCAAAGGGACCTCGAAATCCACGCTCGGAGAAGAGGAAAAGGGAAACTCCAGGAGAGGAAGAGGAGTTGAAAAAAGTCAAGAACGACAAAGAAGACAACAACGGCTGGCGTACCGTCGAGAAGCCGAAGGAGAAGTGGAAAAAACGGAAGGAAAAAGACGTGAAGAAGAAAGCTGAACAGAAGAAGGAGATACCCAGGACTCGTCGGGAGCGAAGTAAGGGCGATGCTCTGATCGTCGAAGCTAAGGACAAAACGTCATATGCAGCACTCCTCCGGAAGGTACGAGAGGATCCGGAGTTGAAGCAACTAGGAGAGAACGTGGTGAAAACCAGGCGAACCCAGAAAGGTGAGATCCTCTTTGAGCTGAAGAAGGATCCTGCTATCAAGAGCTCAGCCTACAAGGAGCTCGTTGAAAAGTCTCTTGGCGAAGGGGCGAGCGTAAGAGCTCTATCCCAGGACACAGTGGTCGAGTGCAGGGACCTGGGCGAGATCACCACAGAAGAGGAGCTAAGAAGTGCGTTGAGAGTGCACTGCGATCTGGGAGATGTCCCGATGTCAATCCGCATGAGGAAGGCGTACGGTGGCATGCAAACGGCGGTTATACGGCTTTCGACAGTTGCAGCGAATAAGCTGTTGGAGGCGGGCAAGGTCAAGGTTGGCTGGTCATTGTGCTCGCTGAAAGCCACTCCTCGGGTTACCAAGCAATTGGAGCGATGCTTCAAGTGCATGGGATTCGGTCACCAGGCGAGGCCTGCAATGGCCCTGACAGATCTGATCTGTGCAGGAAATGCGGAGAGAAAGGCCATATTGCAAGAGGCTGCACGAAGCATCCGAGGTGTATGCTCTGCAAAAAAGAGGACGGTAACGATCATACGACGGGAGGCTTCAAATGCCTAGCATACAAAAAGGCGATGGCAGGCCAACAGTAATGGAGGAAACCCAAATAAACCTCAATCATTGCGACATTGCTCAGCAACTGTTGTGGCAGTCGACAACAGAAACAAAGTGCGACGTTGCAATCATTGCGGAACCGTATCGAGTCCCTCCCGATAACGGTAACTGGGTTGCGGATAGAGCTGGGATGGCAGCTATACAAGTTATGGGCAGATACCCCATTCAAGAAGTGGTTGCGAGCTCATACGAAGGCTTCGTGATCGCCAAAATCAACGGAATCTTCAAGAGCAAGAACGGAAGCAGACAGAGAGGAACGAAGAGAAGTGTTTCGAGCGGCCAGGGCCGCTTTTAAACGAGTTATTAAGCAGAGCAAGTCGAACTGTTTTAAGGAGCTGTGTCGAGACGCTGATGCCAACCCCTGGGGCGACGCATACCGAGTCGTGATGGCGAAGATCAGAGGTCCAACGAT